CCTACCGCTTGTGCTGCAAATCTGAATCGAGCAGCCGACGCACCCTCAAATTCTCGAGATGACCATAGCAGCAGCGGCCGCGAGATCCAAATGAACTTAATCCACCTGCGCGCGATTCCTCTGCTCTCGGTGTCTGTTCTGTATGCTCAGCAGTGCGAAGCGCCAATCAGGTTGACTGACGGCACCATGCCATGGCGGGACCTTGCCCAATCAGACGAGAGGAGCATGCCCGCTATAGCTCCATTCAGCCCCCCGACCACTCTTAATCGACACCTTGAGAATTCAGACTGCGAACACGGTTGACAAATTGCCTGGCAGCGGCTCGTCTAAGCTGAAGGGACACTGTGACTCTGATGGTCGTGGGAAGAAAGCCGGGTCATGCAAGCCTACTCAAGATCCGCGGTGAATCGATGTAGCTGCCACACTCAAATATATCGGGATTGGCCCGTGTTGGTACAGTAAGTGCGACCGTTCGGGCCAAGGCGTCGGCTGACAGCATGATCTGAGTAGGTGCCTGCGAGACGCCGAGGTGGTGCTCGTGTGCGGATCATCTCAAAGCTCAGCTGCGTGACGCGGGGCGGTGAGATCGAAAGACAGACCATCACACATAATGATATGGCATTGCGGCATTGGCGTTGAAGATCCTTGAGTGGACAGGGACCAGAGGATTGTACGTGGAGCGTCGAGCGCAAACGCCGACGCTCAGCGGAAAGGCGCACGCTCCAGCCTCGTTGTGAATACAACGGGTCTTGGACATTTGCACCGCGACACTTGCCATGAGGTTGCGGTCTCAGCAAAGTCAAGTCTGTTGGCCGAGTGCCACTTGCGAGCGCGGCGAGAGAGGTATACGTGTGGCCAAGCCGAGCGCCTCCTGCTGTATCGTGTGATACGCTGTTTTCGCTGCTGCTAACGAAGATCAGAGAAGCAAGCTACCCAAAAGATGCCAGCATATCCGCCAGATCGTCCATCGTTTGCTTCTTGCCAGCTTCAATCTACACGACAAGGGCGGAGGAGCAGATCCATCAGGTCGTGCAGCCCGAAATGCAGCTGACAAGTCCGAAGAATGTCTACTCACCTCGCTGGTATCT